CTCTCTGAAACGGTCACTATGATAGTTCATATGTAGCTTATTTTGTACTTAGTACAGTAATCCATCTGCACATCTGCGCCTCTTCACCTTCCCAAACACTAAGTCTCTCTTCAAAGTCCGACTGCGATGCTGAACGGAGCCATACTTGTGTTAACATTTTTCAGACCGATTTAACTAACGTTTACCGAGCTTTACCGAGCTTTACCGAGCTTTACCGAGCTTTACCGAGCTTAGCGAGCTCTGTGAAATTTACTTTGAACACCATTAGTGTTCTGCCGGTCAGTGTACGTTCATCAAAGTTAACGTACGTTCAGCCGTGAACTTTCCCATGAATGCAAGTGAACTGAACTCATGTAGTGCCAGATGTCCTGCTTGAATATTAGATAATCATGTCTGATTGGACAATGAAGCAGGTTCAAAGTGCCGCAGTACACGGTGTGTCAACAATCGCAGAATGGATAGTACTCGACTACTACTACTATAACATCTGGTAGCACTGCTCATTTATCTACTCATCAAGAACATCATCAACTTGAGGAAAGTCCACATAATACAGCAACATTCACCCGTCTCAGACGGACAGCCGAGTGTGACAATGTACCATTGGGAACGGGCCATCCCATGTGGGCCCATGGACATAATTGTACCATGATATACGAGTGGGCCGGATGAATGTGTGTACCCAAGACATACAGATGGGCTGAGGGTACATTATATAGACAGTGGTATAGGAATGTATTAGTATATAGGACATTATAAATGCTAATTCCTGTTTACATTGGAGACGATGTAGAGACTCGTGCATCTCATAGTGTGATATGGCGCTTTACACTAGGGAGTATACAGCACCAACTCGCAGCATCACTCTGTGTACCATCCACAGTGATTCCTATATGACGCGCAGCTTTCCCGCGCAACGCGCGCCAAGCGCGCACCATTCCCGCGCTTCACGATGTATACGTGCGCGCGCGTTCCCGCGCCCTATAGCGCCAGCCATCCAGATGCATCCATCCACTGTCCACCAAGCTCCCTAGTGCGTATATTTCCATTTCCTTTATTAGCATAGTTCCACCTTTATTTTATCATAGTTTCTCACTCATATATATTTTTACATACCTACTCGGTAGCGCTTCGGCTCCGCATGAGCGCGCTTAGGCGCGCTATATAAGCGCCAGCAGTACATACTATTATTTACCTTACTTTTCACCCAACTTTACCTAGTACTTACTACTTAGAAAGTCGCAGTAGAAATCTATTCATTAGCACAACACATCTCACATCCTTTATCTTGCTTATATCTTCACATAAGTTTAGTCTCTCTTATTTCCGCTTACACGCGCGTGCTTTCCCGCGCTTCGCGCTAATACGCGCGCGCGTTCCCGCGCCTTCGTACCTTGCGCGCACCTGCGCTTTCTCGCGCTTCGCTGAAGCGCGTACCTCTAGATCTTGGCTGCACTCGCTTCCCCTTTAGGGTCGAACGCACTTGCCATCTCAAGTATCGCAGACTAGGCAACGCGCGACCTTACAACTTTTATAGATACAGTCAGGAGCATTTCTTTGTTCCTCTCAGTATTGTTGTTTCTACAACGAGTGGGCCGGCCGGATGTGTGTACCCAAGGTAAACGGATGGGCCGACCATATGAGTGGGCTGAGTGAATCTGTGTACCCGACGCATAAGGATGGGCCGAGAGCATACATTATAGATAGTGATATAGGAATTTACTATTATACATGACATTATGGATGCTAAATCCTGTTTACGATGGAGACGAGTGGGCCGGCCGGATGTGTGTACCCAAGGTAAACGGATGGGCCGACCATATGAGTGAGCTGAATGAATCTGTGTACCTGAAGCATACGGATGGGCCGAGAGCATACAATATAGATAGTGATATAGGAATTTACTAGTATACATGACATTATTAATACCAAATCCTGTTTATGATGGAGACGAGTGGGCCGGCCGGATGTGTGTACCCAAGGTAAATGGATGGGCCGGGGGTATATAGTATAGACTGGTACAGGAATCTACTCGAATAGCGAATCCGGTGTAAAATGGAAATGACTGAGCCGGACGAATGATATACACCAGAGATCCGGTCATATTATCATCCGGCAGGTACATCAATATTTTCACTGGCCTATGATCCGGTGCAGGCAAATATACGATCTGGTACGTGATGATCTGGTGTATCTATGATCCGGTGCAGGCAAATATACGAGCCGGTAGGTGATGATCCGGTACAGGCAAATATACAATCCGGTAGGTGATAATCCGGTGCATCTGTCACATCTCACAAGCCTGTTGTCCGGCATATCCACTATCATATGCTAAAAACATTGCACAAGTGAATATCAATCGGAGTAGACTAAAATATTCATCATCACATGTCTAGACATCTTTCTGCTCAACCGGGTCACTGCGTTGTACATTGCCATATTTTGCATAGTCTGTCCTTGGAGTTCCAACAAAATTATGGATACTATCTCGCATGTACCACGCAGTGACAATCCGGCTACCCTGTTCAACATGCATGTGATGTCTGACAAGGCGACATGATGAGGCCAACATTGACCTGGAGTCATATAGAAAATTGATGCCGAGATTCATGAAATCCATTATGACCGGATGATAAACGCCTGCGGTTGTCATAATATCAAATGCCTCCCGTCGACATTTTGGATCTCTATGAGGTGGTGACCGGCGATTGCAAATGACTGACACTACATTGAAGACAGATGCCCAATGTTTGAGATGATGGCACATGTCTTCTAACTGATACTGGGTCGCCCATGCACCGAGCCTGACTTGAGTTTTGATTCCAGCCCGATATAGATCTGGGTGCATGACCTGAAGTGCAGCAGAGACAAGGATACTGGATCTTTGAAGGGAGGTTGTGATATTGTGACCAACATCACCTTTCAATGCAGCGGATACCTGAGGTGAGAAGCCATCTTCCGGATCAAGTTTTGGGAAACCATGTTTCTACAATACTTTAGACTAGCAACATCAATTGATGCGAACCGGACATACCTCTCTGCCTTGCTGAAACCAGGCGGGTGATATATTGATGCAACCGGGTGTGATCTTCCCATCCGGACTCGGATAGAAATTGGACTCATGGGTCCTCCATTCAGTAGCCTTCCTGGTGGTGATGCTATCGTTCAACAGATGTCCTATGGAATTCGTGGCGCATTGCATGTCTGTCTGTGAATATTGTCATATACATCCGGATGAGATGAAATAAGAAATGAATGTGGATATGAGACAAACCATTATCATGCCAGTCATGGCTCCGGGCAAATACCAGACAATGATTCTGCCTCCGGAATCAATGATGACACTCGGTGTTCTTAGGACAACCTGTTCTGCAGGAGGGAATTTGTCTAAAAGAGTTTGCTCTCATTTCTCGCTTCGTCCGGATTCATATTTTTCCAGAGATTCATTGTATCTAACCATGTCAATTTTGAGATGAACTGTTTGCAAGTTACTCGACCGGCACAGATATATATGCGAGAATGCATACCAGGATTGAAGTAAGCAACGGCCAGGACATTGGCAAGCTGCTCCAAAGCAATACAAGTGTCGACATCTAAAAGTCCAACACTCATTGGCTTTACCGGTTGCCGATGAATTTTGGACATGAAGGTGTCATAAACCAATTCACCGGCAAGGTAGGTCTGGTATAATGCCCAGTCCGGTGGAATTGTTGTCATGTGTTCAGGAAATCAATGAGTGGTTAAAGTATGAGGAAAGAAAAGAAGTGTTTCATGAATCCGTAACCAGATAACAATGAGCAGGAATCTGGGTCACATGCAATGGACCGGATTTCATCTTCGAAAATCACCACCCATTCACATTGCATTTTAATATACATGGGTATAACATATCTACTGAAGGCTTCCAGACGTCAGATTGGGCTTGACCGTACGGATTCACTGGCATCTGTATTCAACCGGTCCATTAGTGATTGTGAGGACGCCACAGCCCTGGTGAGTTCAGCAACCGGCCCAACTACTCCGGCCAACTTATCACTTGAACGTAAAAAGTTTGTCATCCTTCTCTGCAAAATTTCCAACAGCTCTCTACCGATTGTCGTCTGACGGCACCACTCAAGAGATGCTGATCCGACCGTTTCCGGTTGACGCACCAGGCCATGTGTGAGCATATATGGGAGGAGGTCGGTTTCCACATGATCTGGCTATTACAATGCAAGTAAGATTTAGTGAGGATCTGGTGTAGGAGGTCAAGATCTCATGGACTCACGAGTTCTGAAAAATGGCCCTCAACCAACTCCATCACATCTTGGACAGATGATTTTGGCAACATGTCTGGCACCCTGCAAGAGCCCAGGTTCTCCTTCCACCAGGCATTGAAGTAGTCTGACATACGAGCAATGTCATATTCATCTGATGTGGCGGAATTGACAGAAAGAGGCAATGCTTTGATATCCATGAGGACCTCATTCACATCCGGTTTCTGGTCCACCAATTTATTCACAACCAAAATTGCAATCACATCGTGGAGAAGTTTTGGAATGGTAGCGGAGCACCTGGTCAGGAAGGATATGTTGATGAATGGAGTTACAAAAGTCTACATGACAGGCGACATGATTTGAGTGCAAGATAAGAATTGACTGGTTGACCGGACACCTGGACAACTGGACAACTGGATGCTTACCTCCATTTCCCATTGCATGAGGGTGTAAAATTTTTCTGCATAACCGGGCATGGCGGTGGCAAAGCTCTTGTCAACATACAGGCGCATGGCCAACAAGCGAGAATTGGCATAGAACAAAGCACGAGAAATCTGTCCAGCAGTGATCTCACCATCCGAGTAGGCCACAATGATTTGATCAGAGGGAACCAAAGTGGCGGCATTGTTCATGGTGAGTGTATGACAATGATGTGATGGTGAGACTGACAGTTTGTTTTATTCCCACATTTTCAATATAACTACATATTAGCTAATCCAGGAACTATTTTAACCGGTACCGGAACTATGAACTAACAACCGGTACTTCCGGCTGAATGACCGGAATCACTTTCTGAAAAGACTCCGCTGCATGTGCAGCTAGTTGTCGATATATGTGACATTGTCGGGCAGCATAACACGCATGTCCGGTTAGCCCAGTGTAAGTGGCGTTGTCCATGAGACTTAGCCATTGCTTGGCCTTGTAGGTAAAGAAATTGACAGACCACTGCATTTCATGTTTGACAAGAATGACCTCTTCATTCCAACGATCGCACAGGGCCTTTGTCCGGAGCCAATTGACTCGATAGACTGTTGTTGCAATATGTGAGACCAGATCACCCAATATCAATGGATATGCAGGATACTCACATTCTGTCATCCAGTCATTTCCGGATGTATCACCCTGAACATTGATTGACCAGAACCATGCGAGAGTAGCGTCCCTCTGACCACGTGCATTTGGATCTGCAACTGCAGCGTTTGCCTTCAGGTGTTCTTTCTTTAGCGGAAGATATTTCTTCAGGAGGTCGTGATCAGGGAGTTTGGCTAGCTGCAACCGACATTTTGAATATATCCTGGCATTGAGATTGACTACCATTTCCACCGAGCGAACCTGAGTCCATGCCCTGGTGGAGGAGGCTTGTGACTTGGCTGACCGGATAGTATTCCGGAATATAACAGCTTTATCTCCCAAATGAACTCTAATTGCATGAAGGGCGTCATTGGCCTGACCTTCACAAAGGGCAGTTTCTTCTTTCATGAGATCGGTGAGACCCAATTCATTACATCTCACTATACCGAGGTTGGAAGGCAAAGGTAAGATAGTGAGCTCAGGTTGAAAGATGGAGGCATGATGTGTTTCCGGATTGTGATCATCATTGAGATCGGAATAATCTTCATCCGGTGAATTATGAACCGTGTCTACCGGAGAATCCTGTTCATTGCCATCAACTGCAAATCCAAGATAGGTAGGTGCCATCTCAAGAAAGCTTGTAATGCGAGTTTGCAGCTTATCTCTGAGTCGGGCTACTGTCAACAATTGAATGTCTGTAGGATGCCTTCCGAGCCTTTTCACATCTCTAGAGAGAGAGATTTGGGATTCTTCTATGGTCAGACCAGTTGCGAGCCAAGTGGCTGCTCCTCGCCAACTAGGGGAATTGGTAGCTGGATGATCCAGGCGATTTTGAGCCTCCAGCAGGCGCAACTCCTGCTGCTTTCTAGTTGGAGCTGTAGATCATGCCATCCGGATAATAATCCATATGTGATCAGGACCGGATGAGTAGTAGTAGAATTTGACACTTGCCTTTTTCCAACCAGACCTCATAAATGTCCATGGCTGTTGGATCCTCCAGTCTGTTTGCCTGAGCAACAGCCTCCTCTGCTTCCCAAAGAATGACCATGGCAGGCTGAACTGTCTCGTTAAGATTTTGGAATGAGAGTGTGCTCTCTGCAGCACCCTGAACAGCCTCTTTAAACTTTCTGCAAAGAAACTTGGCTAAGGGGCAGGTCAGCCGGGAATGAATAATATGAGACCGGGCCATTTTTGTACATCCGGATATTGGCAACTCACTTATGCGAATCATTTTCATGAAGTTTGAATCATTCATCTGATAATCCAATACCTCCTTGCGATGAGGAGTTCCCATGCCCCTGGCTGACGGGGAGATTATGTTCAAAGATGCCCAGAGTGTTTCCATGATCTCTCCATCTATCCTGCCGGTCCCATGGATAAAATTCGATGCATACCGGACATAGCAGCTGTCCTGATGGCCATGCACATGCCACAAACCTATTCCAGGAATGATATCCATGCTAATGGGGATGGACAGATACATGCTTGATGCGATCCAGTCCTTGAGAAACTTATTATACTGACAATTTATATCATAGAACATTATTGCTCGTGAGATTCCATCTGTATTGTAGTTGAGTGCCTGACTCAAGGCATAGTCCATGTTCATCTGCCTGATTATTTTTCGAGATCAGTAAGACCGGAAATGCATGTAACCGGATGCAATGTCCATTTACCTTTCACCCTTCTGAAAATCCACCATGGAATGTGGGACAAAACATCCATGCCGTGCACATGCACATCCTCCTATACCTGTGGCCTCTAGCTTTTGTCGGGAGGCATTGGCTTGATTGACTGCATGGTGATTGTTACAATCTGACTTTTGGACACGGTCTTGGGCAACAGCCAAATGACTCTTGTATCTTTCATCTCCGACCATGAATGCAAGACCATCAATCAATGATACTTCATCGGATGGATTCACTGGATGGAGGTGCTCGGCTTTAAAATTACCATCCATGACCAAAGTCCTGGTGAAGAGCCAGGAAGGGGTGTCGTCCGGCTGAGTGGCCGTACCGGTTGACCGGTCCAAATTTATCCCCGGTTGAGGACATGCCGGACAGAATAGGGCGAGGTCACCGGTCTTAGGCTCATCGTTTTTACGGGCAAACCCATGCCACTTGTAGAGCTTACATTGACGCCATTGTCTGGCAGTCCTCATGAGCTCTCTGTAGCGATCCTGCAAATATTATTGTTCGATGACCGGCTGAAGTAGAGAATGAAAACCGACTTACCGGAACCATCAATGGAAAGATGCTGGAGGTTAGCCTCCGGATCTTACTGTAGTAATTCATGGCTGATGTACCATATTCCAGGTTGTCTAGCAGAAAGTTGTCCAACATGGAGAATGTGAATGCAGTTTTTGGTCTGGTGAAGGATGCTGGAAATAAGCCTGCTTGAAAGAGCTGCATATCCGGGTTTAGAGCTCCGGGGCAGTGGCAATACCATATGGATACGGAGTGAACACCGGATTTGTTGACTATGGTTGTAGCCGGATGATCTGAGTCTGCGACAAGTGGAATGGAAGTTCCCTCCAGATAATCATTATGGTCTATATGTTCATTGGTATCTGACCATTCAAAGAGGTCTGATGAGTATTCAGTGCTGCTGGGACATGGAGTGCCATCATGAGCAAGGTGAATGTGCAGGCCGACTTTCATAAGTGAAGTTTCTTGAAAAAATGATCCAGTCCATTGACTGATGCGATGGAAAGGGTGTCTTTGATGCTGGGTTCTGCAGCACTCTGTGCAAAACAGGGGCTCGTTGAAACACCCGTGGCATTTATAAACCCCATCCTTCTTGCAAACTTCACAAAGCCGGTCCAGAGGAGGGGTTTCTCGGACCATGAGTAAATTTATGTAGTCCTTGAACTTGCGCTTCCATTGCCGGAGATATTCATTCTGACTCTGCATGATCCGGTCAGATGAAGACTGCAGATATCAGAAGAACTTCTGCTTGCCAGAGATTTTGGTAATTTAGGCTGAGGCATGTAGCCTTGGTCAAAGTCAAAGTCAGCACCGTCATAGAGCATCTGAGAGAACCCGGCTGTGTGCTTTGAGGGAGATTTTGTTGGTGAGGATGTCACCGACTTTGTTTTCGGGGACCATGAATCTTTCACCCAAGATGACCTGGTTCCTCTGGAAGTAGTTTTCTCCTTCAGTTTATATAGCTGAGGCAATCGTTTCTTCATCGGAGGAGTGTATGTGATTCCCTTTTGTTTGGTATTTGCCATGATTGATACCAAGACCTAAAGGATTGTTGGGCTGGGGAGTGCACTTAAGCTTGATGATCGGCAGGCATATAACTTTACACCTGTTCCTTCCTTCAACTCCGGCCTCTGAGTGATTTGAATCACCGGATTACCATTCCTGTTTGTCATTGAGGTACCAACTCCGGCCTCTGAGTAATTTGAATCACCGGATTACTACATTTTCTGTTCCTATGTGTCAGTGAGGTTACCGGTGTAGAGACTCGTGCATCTCATAGTGTGAAATGGCGCTTTACACTAGGGAGTATACAGCACCAACTCGCAGCATCACTCTGTGTACCATCCACAGTGATTCCTATATGACGCGCAGCTTTCCCGCGCAACGCGCGCCATGCGCGCACCATTCCCGCGCTTCGCGATGTATACGCGCGCGCGCCCTATGGCGCCAGCCATCCAGAAGCATCCATCCACTGTCCACCAAGCTCCCTAGTGCGTATATTTCCATTTCCTTTATTAGCATAGTTCCACCTTTATTTTTATCATGCATTCTCACTCATATATATATTTACATACCTACTTGGTAGCGCTTCGGCTCCGCATGACCGCGCTTAGGCGCGCTATATAAGCGCCAGCAGTACATACTATTACTTACTTACTTTTTCCCTTTAACTTACTAGTTACTACCCACTTACTACTTAGCAGAATATAGTAGAAAGCTATTCCTTTACATTTTGCACTCTTATATCTCTTATCTTGCTTTATATCACTACTTAAGCTTAGTTTCTCATTTCCGCATACGCGCGTGCACTTTCCCGCGCTTCGCGCTAATACGCGCGCGCGTTCCCGCGCCTTTGTACCTTGCGCGCTCCTGCGCTTTCTCGCGCTTCGCTTAAGCGCACACTTCTAGATCCTTGCTGCACTCACTTCCCCTATAGGGTCGAACGCACTTGCTTCTCAAGTAACGCAGACTAGGCAGCGTGCGACCTTACAACTTTTACAGATACAGTCAGGAGCTTCTTTTGTTCCTCATTGTATTGTTGTTTCTACAACTGGAGCCCACCGCGAGGGGAGCAGTCAGCAAGATCTAGTTCCGCGCATTTCGCGCATACAGGTCAATATCTTTGCATTTCAAAAGCTAATCATTTTCTAGTCACGCATTCTCGCGCCTTGCGCGCGCGCAATATTCCCACGCCTGTGCGCCTCGCGCGCGCACCTTTCTCGCACTTCACACTATTTAACGCATAAAGGTCAATCTCTTTGCATATTCAAAAGCTAACCAACTTCTAGTCACGCATTCTCGCGCCTTGCGCGCGTGCTTTCCCACCCCTGTGCGCCTTGCGTGCGCACCTTTCACACGCTTCAATGCCCTTCAGAATGCCCATCCGCGGCACAGCAAACGCGCCCAAGTTCGATGGCACTACAGACAACCTTGCCGAGTTTATTGACACCTATGAGCAGCTCGCTGATGATGCAGGACTCCAAGGACTTGACCGCATCAAAGGTATTATCCGCTACCTTGAGCGCGACGATCGAGAACTATGGGGCGGAATGCCTGAGGCGCAAGTAAGCGATTACTTCGCCTTCTTAGACGAGGTAAAGGTAATGTATCCTGGATGGGATGGTAAAAGACGCTATGCGCTCGCGGACTTGCGCGCCATCGTGCGCGAATACGCTAACAAACCAATGTCTTCTTGCACAGAACTAAGCAATTACCTGCGCGCATTCAGGAAGATTATGCAGCCACTCATGGATGAAGACCGTATTGGAAAGGCCGAACGCGACCGCTTATTCATGGAAGGAATCCCTAGCGATGCTCAGGCGCAAATCCGCTTGCGCCTTATGATCAAGTTCCCTGACCACCACCCATACGACCCATATCCATTTATGGACGTCTTTGCAGCTGCGCAGTTCCTATTATCTGGGCGCGCTTTTCCCGCGCCAAGCGCACCAGTAAGCGCACCAATTAGCGCGCCCACTATAGCGCCAAACACGCCAGTTAGCGCACCAGTGGCTAAGTGCCAAGATCGCTATCACGCGAGCCACGCAACCCAGGATACGACCACCAGTACTAATGCGACAGCAGGACTCTTCTATTGCGCACCCTCAGAAGTTGCACTTGACAAAAGGCCACCAGTTCCTATTCTTGCGCCTCGCACGCGTGCCTTTCCCGCGCCTTCGCGCGATTTACGCGCACCTCAACCATCAACTGCGCCAGCATGCAAAGCCACACCAGAATGCACCACTTTAGATCACGAACTCAAGCGCGCGCTCACAAAGCGCAACCAGAAGCGCACTGCAGGCGCCTCTTCACCATCATCTTCATCAGCACCATCTCCTTCACAATCCGCATCATCATCACCATCAATCGCATCATTAGAAGTCAGGGATGACTCTAAACATCTATTGCACACTAACGCGCCAGTTGAAACACGCGTGCCTATCGCTAACGCATCACGCGCGCCTATCGCTAACGCATCGCGCGCGCCTATCGCTATCGCATCGCGCGAAGTCAGGGATGACTCTAAATATCTATTGCACAGTAACGCGCCCATTGTGGACGTTATTACGCCGTCGCTTGAAACGCGCCCGCCTATCGCATCGCTTAAGGAAGAAACCTCGCCAATCGCACCATCACCATCACCGCATTCGCCATTCGCATCATCAGAGGTCAGGGATGACCCTAAACATCTATTGCACCTTAGCGCACCTATAGAGGAGCCTCCTACCGCATCAGAGGCTCAAGTTGCACCTTGCATCAACCAGAGTTTGTCTCTGGAAATTCCAGATGTCACTCGCGATCACGCGCACATCGCACTTTTTGCTTCCAGTGACTATCGCATGCCGGTAAAGCATCCGTGCATCACGCCATCTAACCACCAAGCAGAGTATGTCTCAGGCGACCCTGGCGCGACTCAGGCGCACCATATTGCGCCTGAGGATGCGCAATGCGCGCGCCTAGAGGTATTGTATATTTACCCTCGTCTCATTTCGCGCTTTTTGTCTTTTTCATGTTTGAAGCTCTTAAGGAGCTATATGACAATTCCAATCACTTTTATTTCATCTTCGCACCACCCCTTGTTCACGCGCCATGATCACGCGCATCGCGCAATATGCGCGCGCATTCCCGCGCCTCGCGCATTCATAACTTTAGCAGAGTTTCCACACTATCGCATTTCTATCACTTCTCCCCTTTTAAATTGCATTTCTTTCATTCAACACAAGACATATTCCAATCAGTCATCCAGGCGCGACTTAGGCGCGCGCCTGACACATACATACGCGCCTAACCCCCCTATTATCACTTTTAACTTCGCACTTCGCACATTGATTCGCATTCTTCACGCTTTTGCTTACCATGTCAATTTTGTTCCTGCGCGCGCTGATGCGCACTATTCTCTTTCGCCCATGCGCCTTCTGCGCCTTGATATACAACCCTTACAGCCCATTTGTGCAACATTTGCGCCTAATTTTACACTACATACATCTCTCACTAACACATTTGCAGAGAAATGGCTGTTCCTCGCGTGTTCGGCCAATATAATCAAACTCGCGCGAAATCGCCCCAAGGCGCGCACATCGCGCGCACCCTATCAGCTTGTAGGGCGCCCCTACACCCCTTGCAGCGCCTCCCATTGGCGCGCCTTCAACCTGCAGCGCGTTGTGCAGGAATTCATTCTGCCAGTTACAAGCCCCCCCCCAAGTGCGCCAGCCTTGCTCATTCCAACCCTACCTTGGGTAAAGCGTCAGCTCGCAAGAGACGCGAAGCGCGCTAGTCACGCGCTCAAGGAGGAGGATCAAGCACCTCAGCCGCGCATGAAAGAACAACATATAGCATCGCTGTTTCATAGGATACCATTCGTTTTACCCTGGGTTTCATCCAGCGCTCTTTCATTTTATTTTCTCTCATTATAACGCCATCCAAAGAACTAATAACTCGCTGATATATATGCATATAGGAATCACTTAGAAGAACATAGAAGAAAAACAATCATAGAACGTGCCCGCCTAGCTCAATAGTATATTTTCTCTTCGCATGCATGACGCGGCACCATGCTCCTTTTTACCTTAGAACGCGCACATATGCGCGCAGTCTTCCCACGCTCACGCGCACATACGCGCGCAATATTCACGCGCCCATATGCCTCGCGCGCGCACACATGCGCGCTTCCTGCGTCTCGCTCATAGGAAGGTGTAGATGTCGACAGCCGCACGAAGAAGACAAGTCGGATAGGACATCCGCAAAGTTTACCATTTTTTCCTTCGCATTTTCACATATAGTTTTACTCACACTGTTCAAACCTTACCACCTAATATTTAGTGCGCCTAGCAGGACTTGGTTTGGACTTGGATTGGATCGCTCTTGGACCGCACCACTTCGCATCATACGCACAATACAACACATGCGACACTCACGCGCTTTCTCGCGCCTTGTGCGCGCGCACTTTCTCGCGCTTTATGCCATATGCGCGCCACATCCATATCACTCTCACATCATCGCCTCACACCCAGGGAACACTATTCACACCAGAGTCACCCTTGCAATTCGCCATGCTACACTTCATTCCCGCGCCTTCACGCATAGCGCGCGCACATTCTCGCGCCTTGCGCGTACCATGCGCGCAACTTCCCACGCTTCACGCACATCCACGCAATAATTCCTGCACTTGCGCATTCATCGCCCAACGACCCAAGCATCATACAGGC